TTAGGCATAGCACCTTTGTGTAGTACAGACACCCCTGCTGCGTCAGGTCTTCAACCATTTGCTTTGTCTAGTCTAGGCTCCACCCTCTCTCCTCCTACGTCTTCCGCTACTGCTTCGCTGTCCTTCACACTTGGCTCCGATGCGTCTGCCTGCTTCTTCCGCGACCACGCCACACTTACGCCGTTTGCTACGCCTGCCACTGTTGCACTAGCTGACCCCTCTACTGGTCCTGTCGTTTCTCGCACCTACACTACCCTTTTCTGTCCATCGGTCCCCTTGGGTTCCCTTACAGGCCTGCACATCCCCTCGTTCTCCAAGAACTTAGTTGGTGTCGGCTGTCTTCAGGACCTCGGCGTCACCATTACGTTTCCTGGCCACGAGCAGTACGCGGTCTGTACCGAGGCCGCCTCAGGTTCCCCCCTTGCGATGTTCCCCTTGGACCCGGTGTCTGGACTCATTACGCGGGACACTGCTTCCCCCCCCAATGGGCACGTCCTCCCCGAGCCTTGCATCTACCCAGGTTGCTGCGGCTTGCTCGTGTCGGTCGCTCAACCACCCGTCGCTTCTCTGGCACCACCATCTAGGTCACCCCGCACTCCCGCGTCTGCGTCACATCTCTCAGCACGGTCTCGTTCTAGGTCTCCCTGCGTCGCTTCTTGCCCTGCCTCCCTCACCTGCGCCGCCGTGCACCCCCTGCGTCAAGGGCCAGCTGTGCCATGCTCCTCACTCCTCCTTGCTTCGTCCAGCCACTGCATCCCTCCAGACCCTGCACCAGGACGTCTGGGGCCCAGCCCCCGTCCCTAGACCGCGTCGCAAGCTCTACTTTCTAGTGCTCGTTGACGACTACACGTGCTACACCACGGTGTTTCTCTTGGAGCAGAAGACCGACGTGCCCGACGTTATTATCTCGTGGGTTGTAGCTGCGCGCCTCCAGCGCGGTCTCCCTGTGCTGTGTCTCCACTCCGACCGTGGCGGCTAGTTTGCCTCTGGTCGGCTTGGACAGTTCTGTCGTGCGGAGGGCATCACCCAGTCGTACACCCTACCGGTCTCCCCGCAGCAGAATGGGGTCACAGAGCGACGCATCGGCTTGGTCATGGAGGTGGCTCGTACCTCCATGATCCATGCCGGTGCACCCCATTATCTGTGGCCATTCGCCGTTCGCTACGCCGCTCACTAGCTTAACCTCTGGCCGCACTCCCAGCGGCCGCAGGTTTCGCCGACCCATTGTTGGACCGGGTTTCCTGGTGACGCTTCCACGCTCCACGTCTAGGGCTGTCTCGCTCACGTTCGTGCCTCTGGCACGGACAAGCTCACAGCCCTCACTGTCCCCTGTGTCTTCCTCGGTTTCCCCTTGGACTCGTCTGACTGGCACTTTTACCACCCGCCATCTCACCGCTTCCTTCACTCGCGTGACGTCACTTTTGATGAGTTTGTCTCCTTTTACCACCACTTTCCCCACTACGGTCTCCCGGTTTTCCCCCCCTGTTTCTGGTCTCCGCTCCCTCGGTAGCCCCTGTTCACCTTTCTCCCCGTCCTGCTCTGTCTGGTGTGTCTCACGTCACTCCCCTCCTCTCGGTTGTCCCGGTCGAGGAGTCGGCTGACTCTAGTGGCCCTGCGGCACAGCTCTCGCCATATGTCCCCCCCCGGTGTCTCCTCCTTCGCCATCGCAGTCACCGCCGCCACAGCAGCCGTCGCCACCGCCGCAGCAGCCGTCGCTGTCATAGCAGCAGCAGCCGTCCGTCGACTCTGGGGGTGCTGGCGTTGAGGAGGGTGCTAGTCCTGGGGTTCTTGTTGTGGCTTGTCCCGGTGGGCTCTGGGGTGGCACCGGTACAGGAGAGGGTTCTCGCTCCGGGGGTGCTTGTTCTTGGGGTGCTGGAGTGGAGTGTTTCGGAAATAGTCGCGGTACGGCTGGCGGTCCAGTTGTCGGCGTCAGCAGCAGTCGCCGACGGTGTCCACCCTTCGCATGCTCGGCCTTCCCTCCCTCGACCACTCGCCTGCGCCTTCCGCGCCACCTCCTCCCCTTCCTGTTCACGGTCCTCTGTTTCCTCCGCCGGACTCATCCCCAGCCCGTTTCCCACCTCGTTCCTCACCTGTTACTCCTCCTCTGTCTCCTGACCTGACGCCTCCATCTCACGTCTGGTCTCGCCGTCCCTCTCATGCTCGTGCTTTCTCTCCTGTTCCGCGTTCTCACCCTATGTTGCTTTGTTCCCACGCGTCTCGTCCTCCCCTCCTGCCTTCGCCTCCTCCGTAGTCGCTCGTTGTCACACCTCCCCCGCTGTCTGACTACTTTCGTGCTGCTCGTCCTCTTGTTCCTCGGGTCCTTGCCTTCCACGTTACCGACCTGTCTGTTCCTGTCTCCAGTCTTGACGCTCTTGTCACTGCTGTCACTGACTTTGCATCTACCCACCGCCTTGACTATGCCACCGCTCTGGTCTCTGGCCCTGTCCGTCCTCCGTCCGTCGGGGGTGCTCCTTCCCTTGGCAGTGACGTCCTAGAGGACAGGTAGTACGAGCTTGCTTTCCTTTCCGAGGCTGCTCCCCATCTCTGCTCCATGCTGCTAGTCCCTGAGGGTGACCCAGACGCCTTTGACATCCCGACCCCTCGCACTTACACTGATGCGACCTCGTGGCCCTGTGCCTCTTAGTGGATAGCTTCCATGGAGCAGGAGATGGCATCTTGGAGATCCACCGACACCTACATCGACGCAGTTCCCCCACCTGGGGTGAACATAGTCGACGACCGATGGCTCTTCAAGGTGAAGCGCCCACCTGGAGAGCAGCCTGTATTCGAGGCGCGCTACGTGGCCAGAGGCTTCAGTCAGCGAAAGGGGGTGGACTTATTTCAGACCTTCGCCCCGACCCCAAAGATGACTACTCTTCGGGCGCTGCTATACGTAGCAGCACAGCGTGACTACGAGCTCCACTCCCTCAACTTCTCCACTGCTTTTCTTCAGGGCAGCCTACATGAGCAGGTCTATTTGCGCCGTCCACAGGGCTTCTCCGGTACCTTCCCTCCTGGGACCCAGTGGCTCCTACGGCGCCCGGTCTACGGCCTTCGACAGGCACCCCGTGTGTGGCACGACACGCTGCGTGCTACGCTAGCTGACGTGCATTTCTTTCCGTCCTCTGCAGATCCTTCGCTCTTCGTTCGTGCTGGCCAGACTCCGTTCTACATCCTTGTCTACGTAGAGGACCTGGTCTTCGCTACTGTAGACAGAGACACGCTGGCCTCTGTAAATGCCGAGCTGCTGAGGAGACACACTTGCACTAACCTAAGAGAGCTGCGCCGCTACCTTGGCCTGCAAATCTCTAGGGACACAGCAGCACGCACCATCACTCTCACACATTCACACTTGGTGCGCCAGGTCCTTCAGAGGTTCGATCTTCAGTTCTCTTCTGCACAACCCACATCTGTACCAGTAAACCATAAGCTCTCACCTTCATTTCCTGAGAAGTCAGCAGAGCCCAGTGGTCCTTACGCAGAGCTGGTAGGTTGCCTCATGTACCGGATAACTTGCACTCGTCCTGTTCTCGCATACCCTCTCAGCATCCTGACTCACTTCGTGACCACAGGCAGATACCGACCACAACGCTGGTCGGCCGCTAAGAGGATTTTGCGTTATCTAGCGAGTACATCGGGCATGAGGCTAATGCTGGGAGGACGCAGGCCTGTGGTCCTTACCGGGCACACAGATGCTTCTTGGGCAGACGACGCTGAGACCCTCAGGTCCTCCAAGGGCTACTGCTTTAGCTTTGGTTCGGGTGCCATCTTGTGGAGGTCCACTCGCTCGTCGTCTGCTGCCAGTTCTAGCTGTGAGGCTGAGATCTATGCCGGTGCCATGGCGGCACAGGAGCTCCGCTGGCTGACGTTATTGCTCAGCGACTTAGGTGAGCGGCCTAGCTCTGCCCCGGTCCTGTACGCTGACAACAGGGCCATGATCATGCCTTGGAAACGATGCGCGCAACTTTGCGTGGGGCGTACCGACCTATTCGCTAAGTGCCTCATTCCAACATTCTTGGAGTTTGCACTTCGGTAATATGGCCTGTACTTCGGACACCCTTTTAGGGCATGTCACAAATTTATGAACATACGGTTTTCAGGACCAATATTCGACACAATGTTTAGGAGAACATGCTAACCAATACCTAAATGAACATGGGGAAATTGGTATTTTGGGTATGTCACTCGCATCTATTGCGGTGGAAATTCCCGGCTTGTCGCGATGGTATGACGAGCGTCGCGAAGCTGGTTACTGTCGCAACATCTGGTGTTCGCTGCCCTTAGGGCGTGTGACATTTTGAACAGAACGGGGTTGGGGAAGGAATTTTGTTGAGGTTAGCAGATTCTCGGTACAGGCGGAAATTTCGCGAATACCCTCAACAAATATGTCAGATCTGGGTACGTCCCGCTAAATTTACAGTGCTCGCTCGCGCACGTCCGAACCTGCCAGACCAATATCCGCATTTGAGATCCAGCATGACGACACACCCTGTCATGTTCCGACGGTGTGCATGACTCGCAAGCGATTGGGACGAAATGTTACACACCAAAATTCGCATCTCGAAGCTTGGTGACTGGTGGCGACTTAATGCACATGTTTTCGTCGGACCAGTCGTGATCGTCGCACGGATTTGACGAAGCATTGACGATTTTACTCTGTCGTCGCCTGACGGTGTACGGGTCACGCGTACGTACGGCGTTGTGGCTCGACTGGGTGCCGAATACAGTTTCAAAACTTGCAATTTTGGAAGCTGCTTTTCGATCCGTGAAAGTTGACGAGTCCGCACCCGATGTGCGTTCATCCGGTACAGACTTTTGCATTTTTTTCAAAATGTCACACGCCCTTAGACACTGCCTGCCGTTGGCTTGAAAGTTTGAAACGGAAACCATAATTTGTAGAATCTGCAGTCGCCTCCCCCCGTGCCGCCCAGACCATGCTTCGCTGTAGCCTCGCCATTCACCCATCACCCATCCATCAACTCCAACTGTCCAGTGTCCACCCCCACCACCACTGTGAACTGAACTCAAACATGATCCAGTATCCTAAGAGCTTATATTCCCCCTTCACCATTCTCGCCTCGCCTTCTTGTCCGCTGCTCGCTGCTTCTCGCCTTAGCCGTCGCGCCGTCGAGCTCCAACAGCGTGATTCTCCTTGTCGCACGCCCCTAGCCTTGCTGCTCTAGTAGCCGCCGCGCCTTGGTTCCTCCCTGCCAGCGCACCAGCAGGCGATAGGCGGCAAGCGTTGGCGACAGGCGATACCCGACTGGCGGTTGGCGATTGAGAATTGGCGATTCGCGACTGTCCATTGACGATTGACGATTAACGATTGCCATTGACAACTGGCGACCGAGATAGGGGAGTAGGCGATCGGTGACAGGAGAGGCGGCGGGCGATGGAGGAGGAGGAGGAGCAGCTGCACTGTCTGGGCACGCGGTGCTTCCAGTCGCCGCACGACAGCTACCGCCTGCCCACCTACTACGACGTCCCGCTCATGCGCGGCGAAAAGGCGCCTGGCCGGGTGCGTGCGCGTGTGCGTGCTGTGCCTATCGCTCGCCCAGCAGTCGTCGCACGCCGTGCTATTCGCCTCATCCGTCCGCATGTGCTCGTGCAATCGTCCGCTGGTGAACGCCGAGGGTTAGAGTGGACGCACAATCTGCGGTGCCCGGACGCCTGTCCAGCGGGCGTGGTCACCATGGGCTGTCTCGCTGGTTGCGGCTCTGCGAGCTTCGTCTGCCACGCTTGCCGGACATGCGCTCACCATGAAGTGGCGTCGTCGACTAGGAACCGCGTGTGCTTACCACGCGCCTTGTGCCTCTCTCCCCACTCCCCTCTCTCCCCACTCCCCTTCCTCCCTCCCTCCCTCCCTCCCTCCCTCCTTTCTCCCTTCGTCTGTCTCCCCCCTCCCTCTCGTCTCCCCGTTCCTCGCCGCGCCTCTCCCCCGCCCGCGCGTGTGCCCGCCGTCAGGACTACCGCTGGATGGTGGGGATGCGCCTCAAGAACGAGGCCGGCGCGCGCCCCAAGCGCCACGCGCGCCTCGCCGCCTACCGCGCCGTCGCCCTCCCGCAGTGCCTCGGCCTCGGTACGCTCCTTCCCCTTTCCTCTCCCCCCCCCCGCGCTCCCCCAATCCCCCCATTCTCGCCGCCCACTGCCGTGCGACCCCCGTCGTACCGTTCCCTCAATGCTCTGCCCCTCCGATGCTCCGTCTCCGCATCTCTCTCCCTCTTCCCTCACCTCCCACTCTCCCGTTCTCTCTCTCTGCCGCCTCATGTTCGTCCACTTCCCCCGCCACTTCCCCCGCCACTTCCCCCGCCACTTAACCCGCCACGTCTCTTGGCGTGCAGGCGACGACGGCAGGTGGCGCTGGCAGCACATCCCCCTCGCACTGCTCGCGGGTTTCAAGCTCACCGCCTCCGCCCTCCCTGCCTCACCCGCCACAACCGCCACCACTGCTACCGCTGGCAGCAGCATTGGCGTAGGGAAGGGGGAGGTGGGAGGCGCAGCGGGTGCGGGCCTGGGCGGTGAGCGACGGGCGTCCACTGTGTGGTCTGCGTCTGTGACGCCGCATGTGCGGCTGCAGGTGCTCACACCGCTGCTGGGCAAGATAGGTGAGGGGGCAGTGCGGGCGATGGCATGGCACGGCACTTGCAGCCTTGTAAATTGATCCTCCCCTGTTGCTCTGCCACAGGTCACGCCTCGCTCTTCCCGCTATCCCGTTGCGCATATCTTTGGCGACGTTCCGTTCCTTCGCCGCAGCTGCTGCCTCACCATCCTCTCTCCCCGCCCTCCCCTCGTCTCCAACTCCCCCACAAATCCCCCTCCCAACCTCCCCTCTCCCTCTCCCCCCCCCTTCCCCCGTTATGCGCAGCGCTGCGGCCGTGGTTGGACGTGCTGCCGCGGCCCGCTGTGTGCATCAAGCGCTCCTTCAACGTGGGCACGGCCAAGCTCTCCCTGCGCGCCAAGCTGCAGGTCAGATCGCCCTGCCGTCCAGGGCAGGGAAAGGCAAGGCAGGGCAGAGCATGCGCTTGGGCACGGCAGGGGGAAGGGCTGGGCTTGGGCACGGGTTGCGCTCCATGTTGCACCTGACCTTGCTGCGCGCTGTCAGCCTTGGTTGTTGTTGCATCGGTTGGGGGGTGTGCTGTCCTTGCTGCAACACGCGAGCCAGCTACTCATCCAGCTTCCCTTTTCTGCTCAGCACTAAAGCCTCTGCACACCCCCCAGCCAGCATGGCTGCTGCGCATTCACCATGGCTCATGCGCGTCTCCCCCTCCTCCCCTCCCCCCCCCGGTCTCTCCCTGTGCGTGGCGTCAGGCGGAGGGCGACGCTTGGCGCATGCGACTGCCATCGTGGACGCTGCAGCTCGACTGGCGGCCCGCTGACTCGGTGAGAGCAGGCAAGAGCTGCGGGCATAGGATGGAGGTGGAGGGGAGGGGGGAAGGGGAGGATTGTGGTGGGTTGTTGAGCCCAACACCTCTGCGTTTGCAGGGGCCATGGTGCAGCATTGGCCTTTGAGATGCGTGCCATGCTTGTGTATTCAACCCACCGCCGACAACCTGCTCCCTGCTTCTCCTCACTTTTGTTCCAGTTCCGTCTTGAGTCGTCTCCATTCTCTTGCAACCCCTCTCTCCCCATCCCTTCTGACTGCGTGCGTGCACCAGGTGCGGGTACAGAGGGAGGGGCAGCAGGAGGACTCGATAACGCTCAAGTACACCAAGGGCTTCCACATCTCGCGAGACTGCAGAGGGGTCGGTCACTCACTCGTCCTTACTCACCCTCTCACCCACCTCTCACTCGCCCTCTCACGCGCCCTCTCACTCGCCCTCTCACTCGCCCTCTCACTCGCCCTCTCACTCGCCTTCTCACTCGCCCTCTCACTCGCCCTCTCACTCGCCCTCTCACTCGCCCTCTCACTCGCCCTCTCACCCGCCCTCTCACCCACCCTCTCACCCGCCCTCTCACCCGCCCTCTCACCCGCCCTCTCACTCGCCCTCTCACTCGCCCTCTCACTCGCCCTCTCACTCGCCCTATCACTCGCCCTCTCACTCGCCCTCTCACTCGCCCTCTCACTCGCCCTCTCACTCGCCCTCTCACTCGCTCTCTCACTTGCCCTCTCACTCGCCCTCTCACTCACCCTCTCACTCGCCCTCTCACTCGCCCTCTCACTCGCCCTCTCACTCGCCCTCGCACTCGCCCTCTCACTCGCCCTCTCACTGGCCTTCTCACTCGCCCTCTCACTCGCCTCTCACTCGCCCTCTCACTCGCCCTTTCACTCGCCCTCTCACGCGCCCTCTCACTCGCACTCTCACTCGCCCTCTCACCCGCCCTCTCACTCGCCTTCTCACTCGCCCTCTCACTCGCCCTCTCACTCGCCCTATCACTCGCCCTCTCACTCGCCCTCTCACTTGCCCTCTCACTCGCCCTCTCACTCGCCCTCTCACTCGCCCTCTCACTCGCCCTCTCACTCGCCCTCTCACTCGCCCTCTCACTCGCCCTCTCACTGACCTTCTCACTCGCCCTCTCACTCGGCCTGTCACTCGCCCCCTCACCCGCCTCTCACTCGCCCTCTCACTCGCCCTTTCACTCGCCCTCTCACGCGCCCTCTCACTCGCACTCTCACTCGCCCTCTCACCCGCCCTCTCACTCGCCTTCTCACTCGCCCTCTCACTCGCCCTCTCACTCGCCCTATCACTCGCCCTCTCACTCGCCCTCTCACTTGCCCTCTCACTCGCCCTCTCACTCGCCCTCTCACTCGCCCTCTCACTCGCCCTCTCACTCGCCCTCTCACTCGCCCTCTCACTCGCCCTCTCACTGGCCCTCTCACTGGCCCTCTCACTCGCCCTCTCACTGGCCTTCTCACTCGCCCTCTCACTCGGCCTCTCACTCGCCCTCTCACCCGCCTCTCACTCGCCCTCTCACTCGCCCTTTCACTCGCCCTCTCACGCGCCCTCTCACTCGCACTCTCACTCGCCCTCTCACCCGCCCTCTCACTCGCCTTCTCACTCGCCCTCTCACTCGCCCTCTCACTCGCCCTATCACTCGCCCTCTCACTCGCCCTCTCACTTGCCCTCTCACTCGCCCTCTCACTCGCCCTCTCACTCGCCCTCTCACTCGCCCTCTCACTGGCCCTCTCACTCGACCTCTCACTCGCCCTCTCACTCGCCCTCTCACTCGCCCTCTCACTGGCCCTCTCACTCGCCCTTTCACTCGCCCTCTCACGCGCCCTCTCACTCACACTCTCACTCGCCCTCTCACCCGCCCTCTCACTCGCCTTCTCACTCGCCCTCTCACTCGCCCTCTCACTCGCCCTATCACTCGCCCTCTCACTCGCCCTCTCACTCGCCCTCTCATCCTCCCTCTCAGTCGCCTTCTCACCCGCCTTTCACTCGCCCTCTCACCCGCCTTTCACTCGCCCTCTCACTCGCCTTCTCACTCAGCCTCTCACTCGGCCTCTAACTCGGCGTCTCACTCGGCCTCTCACTCGCCCTCTCATCCGCCCTCTCACTCGCCCTCTCACTCGCCCTCTCACTGGCCCTCTCACTAGCGCTCTCACTCGCTCTCTCACTCGCTCTCTGACTCGCCCTCTCACTCGCCCTCTCACTCGCCCTCTCACTCGCTCTCTCACTCGCCCTCTCACTCGCCCTATCACTCGCCCTCTCACTCGCCCACTCACTCGCCCTCTCACTCGCCTTCTCACTCGCCCTCTCACTCGCCCTCTCACTCGCCTTCTCACTCGGCCTCTCACTCGGCCTCTAACTCGGCGTCTCACTCGGCCTCTCACTCGCCCTCTCACTCGCCCTCTCATCCGCCCTCTCACTCGCCCTCTCACCCGCCTTTCACTCGCCCTCTCACTCGCCCTCTCACTCGCCCTCTCACTCGCCCTCTCACTCGCCCTCTCACTCGCCCTCTCACTCGCCCTCTCACTCGCCCTCTCACTCGCACTCTCACTCGCCCTCTCACCCGCCCTCTCACCCGCCCTCTCACCCGCCCTCTCACTCGCCCTCTCACTCGCTCTCTCACTTGCCCTCTCACTCGGCCCCTCACTCGCCCTCTCACTCGCCCACTCACTCGCCCTCTCACTCGCCTTCTCACTCGCCTTCTCACTCGCCCTCTCACTCGCCTTCTCACTCGGCCTCTCACTCGGCCTCTAACTCGGCGTCTCACTCGGCCTCTCACTCGCCCTCTCATCCGCCCTCTCACTCGCCCTCTCACCCGCCTTTCACTCGCCCTCTCACTCGCCCTCTCACTCGCCCTCTCACTCGCCCTCTCACTCGCCCTCTCACTCGCCCCCTCACTCGCCCTCTCACTCGCCCTCTCACTCGCCCTCTCACTCGCCCTCTCACTCGCCCTCTCACTCGCCCTCTCACTCGCCCTATCACTCGCGCTCTCACTCGCCCTCTCACTTGCCCTCTCACTCGCCCTCTCACTCGCCCTCTCACTCGCCCTCTCACTCGCCCTCTCACTCGCCCTCTCACTCGCCCTCTCACTCGCCCTCTCACTCGCCCTCTCACTCGCCCTCTCACTCGCCCTCTCACTCGGCCTCTCACTCGCCTTCTCACTCGCTCTCTCACTCGCTCTCTGACTCGCCCCCTCACTCGCCCTCTCACTCGCCCTCTCACTCGCCCTCTCACTCGCCCTCTCACCCGCCCTCTCACGCGCCCTCTCACTCGCACTCGCCCTCTCATCCGCCCTCTCACTCGCCCTCTCACCCGCCCTCTCACTCGCCTTCTCACTCGCCCTCTCACTCGCCCTCTCACTCGCCCTATCACTCGCCCTCTCACTCGCCCTCTCACTTGCCCTCTCACTCGCCCTCTCACTCGCCCTCTCACTCGCCCTCTCACTGGCCCTCTCACTCGACCTCTCACTCGCCCTCTCACTCGCCCTCTCACTCGCCCTCTCACTGGCCCTCTCACTCGCCCTTTCACTCGCCCTCTCACGCGCCCTCTCACTCGCACTCTCACTCGCCCTCTCACCCGCCCTCTCACTCGCCTTCTCACTCGCCCTCTCACTCGCCCTCTCACTCGCCCTATCACTCGCCCTCTCACTCGCCCTCTCACTCGCCCTCTCATCCTCCCTCTCACTCGCCTTCTCACCCGCCTTTCACTCGCCCTCTCACCCGCCTTTCACTCGCCCTCTCACTCGCCCTCTCACTCGCCCTCTCACTCGCCCTCTCACTTGCCCTCTCACTCGCCTTCTCACTCGGCCTCTCACTCGGCCTCTAACTCGGCGTCTCACTTGGCCTCTCACTCGCCCTCTCATCCGCCCTCTCACTCGCCCTCTCACCCGCCCTCTCACCCGCCCTCTCACCCGTCCTCTCACTCGCCCTCTCACTCGCTCTCTCACTCGCCCTCTCACTCGGCCCCTCACTCGCCCTCTCACTCGCCCACTCACTCGCCCTCTCACTCGCCTTCTCACTCGCCCTCTCACTCGCCCTCTCACTCGCCTTCTCACTCAGCCTCTCACTCGGCCTCTAACTCGGCGTCTCACTCGGCCTCTCACTCGCCCTCTCATCCGCCCTCTCACTCGCCCTCTCACTCGCTCTCTGCCCCTCCTATTCCTCCCCTCCGCTTCCTCCCCCCCCCCGTCCTCCCATGGCAGGTGGTGTCGGGGCTGATGGAGCTGCCGTGCCGCATCTCCTCGGTGCACTCGGCGCCGCTCTTCTCGCTGTTCCCGCGCAAGTTCGGCCTCGAGTCGCTGCGCCTCACACAAGTCATCGGCACCAGGGTGTGCTGCCAGGGGGGCGTGGGGCGTGGGGAGGTGGGGAGATGGGGGGATGGGGAGATGTGAGGGCTTATGGGTGGTGGATGGACACATGTGGCTGGGGGCGCTTTTGTCTTGCACTCTGTACGTGCCTTGTCCTGATCCATCTCCCCTCTCGCCCTTACTATCGCCATCGCCAATACGGCACACCACAACCCTCATCTCACTGCCACTATTCGCTCTAGCCTCCCAGCTGACTCAGCGCCCCTAACCCCCGCTCTCTTTGCTCTCCCCCTCCCCCCCTCCCCTGCGCCCCCCCTCTCTCCCCTCCCCCCCAGGCCCCTCGCGATCCGCCGCTATCCACGCGGCGGTACCTGCAGGCGGCGCAGCACATCGGGCGCAGTGACGCCATCTCCGTGGTGCCGGGCCACTGGATCGACCCAGGCTTCGAGCCCGGCGCGCCGGGGGAGCGGGAGTTTAACCTCGAGGTGGGTGGGGGAGGGAGGGAGGAGGGGGGGGGGAAGGGAGGAGGGGGTGGGGGGGAGATTGGGGGCCATGATGTGCGGTGCGCGTGTGCAGGCGGGGAGAGGCGGATGTGCTGCTGGGCAGTTGCGTAGAAGCCCCATGGCGTTGTGCATGCCGGCCCTGTGTGAACCATGGGGTTTATTTTAAGAGTGGGAAGGTTGGGGATGTGTGAGAGGGGCTGTGGAGGAAAGAGGGAGCTTCGGGAAAGATGTGCTTCAAGGGGCGTTGGGTCGAAGTGCTGGATGCATGGTCTTCGGGTTTGTCATGCGTTTGGCGTGATGGTATGGGAGGAGAGAGAAGGATCAATAGCGTGAGCTGTGTGTGCATGCGTGTGTGTTTATGGTGCGCTGGAGAGGCGCAGGTATAATGCGGCTATCAGCCATGCATGGTACTGGCGGTAGGTGCCTTGTGTGCTGCGTCTTGCTGCGTCTTGCATTGCACTGCCCTGTGTGCTAATCTGGGTTACGATGCTTGACCTCATGCCCTCGCCTGATGCACTCTGATTGTGGCATGGCATGACCACGGGACCGCATGATTGCATGGTGGCCTGGTATGGCTTGCTGGCATGACTGCATGGCTTGATGCATGGCACGATGGCACGACGGCACGATGGCACGATGCCAGGTGGCGGATGCGTTAGAGCGGCAGCTGAGGAGCACGGGGTGGGATGTGCTGCGGCCAGACAGGGATGCCCCCAACTTGCAGTGGGAGCAGTACCTCAACTGGGTCTCCACTCAGGTGCCTCTCCACGCAGGTGCCTCTCCACTCAGGTGCCCCTCCACTCAGGTGCCTCTCCACTCAGGTGCCTCTCCTCTCAGGTGCCTCTCCACGCAGATACCTCTCCACTCAGTTGCCTCTCCACGCAGGTGCCTCTCCACTCAGGTGCCTCTCCACTCAGGTGCCTCTCCTCTCAGGTGCCTCTCCTCTCAGGTGCCCCTCCACTCAGGTGCCACTCCACGCAGGTGCCTCTCCACTCAGGTGTCTCTCAACTCAGGTGCCTATCCTCTCAGGTGCCTCTCCACTCAGGTGCCTCTCCACTCAGGTGCCTCTCCACTCAGGTGCCTCTCCACGCAGGTGCCTCTCCACTCAGGTGCCTCTCCACTCAGGTGCCCCTCCTCTCAGGTGCCTCTCCACTCAGGTGCCTCTCCACTCAGGTGCCTCTACTCTCAGGTGCCTCTCCTCTCAGGTGCCTCTCCACTCAGGTGCCTCTCAACTCAGGTGCCTATCCTCGCAGGTGCCTCTCCACGCAGGTGCCTCTCCACGCAGGTGCCTGTCCACTCAGGTGCCTCTCCACTCAGGTGCCTCTCCACGCAGGTGCCTCTCCACTCAAGTGCCTCTCCACTCAGGTGTCCCTCCACGCAGGTGCCTCTCCACGCAGGTGCCTCTCCACTCAGGTGCCTCTCCACGCAGGTGCCTCTCCACTCAGGTGCCCCTCCACTCAGGTGCCTCTCCACTCAGGTGCCTCTCCTCTCAGGTGCCTCTCCACGCAGATGCCTCTCCACGCAGGTGCCTCTCCGCACAGGTGCCTCTCCACTCAGTTGCCTCTCCACTCAGGTGCCTCTCCACTCAGGTGCCTCTCAACTCAGGTGCCTATCCTCGCAGGTGCCTCTCCACGCAGGTGCCTCTCCACGCAGGTGCCTGTCCACTCAGGTGCCTCTCCACTCAGGTGCCTCTCCACTCAGGTGCCTCTCCACTCAAGTGCCTCTCCACTCAGGTGTCCCTCCACGCAGGTGCCTCTCCACGCAGGTGCCTCTCCACTCAGGTGCCTCTCCACGCAGGTGCCTCTCCACTCAGGTGCCCCTCCACTCAGGTGCCTCTCCACTCAGGTGCCTCTCCTCTCAGGTGCCTCTCCACGCAGATGCCTCTCCACGCAGGTGCCTCTCCGCACAGGTGCCTCTCCACTCAGGTGCCTCTCCACTCAGGTGCCTCTCCTCTCAGGTGCCTCTCCTCTCAGGTGCCCCTCCACTCAGGTGCCACTCCACGCAGGTGCCTCTCCACTCAGGTGTCTCTCAACTCAGGTGCCTATCCTCTCAGGTGCCTCTCCACTCAGGTTCCTCTCCACTCAGGTGCCTCTCCACTCAGGTGCCTCTCCACGCAGGTGCCTCTCCACTCAGGTGCCTCTCCACTCAGGTGCCTCTCCTCTCAGGTGCCTCTCCACTCAGGTGCCTCTCCACTCAGGTGCCTCTCCTCTCAGGTGCCTCTCCTCTCAGGTGCCTCTCTACTCAGGTGCCTCTCCACTCAGGTGCCTCTCCACTCAGGTGCCTCTCCATGCAGGTGCCCGTCCACGCTGGTGCCTCTCCACTCAGGTGCCTCTCCACTCAGGTGCCTCTCCCCTCAGGTGCCTCTCCACGCAGGTGCCTCTCCACGCAGGTGCCTCTCCACTCAGGTGCCCGTCCACGCTGGTTCCTCTCCACTCAGGTGCCTCTCCACTCAGGTGCCTCTCCACTCAGGTGCCTCTCCACTCAGGTGCCTCTCCACCCAGGTGCCTCTCCACCCAGGTGCCTCTCCACTCAGGTGCCCGTCCACGCAGGTGCCTCTCCACGCAGGTGCCTCTCCACGCAGGTACCTCTCCACGCAGGTGCCTCTCCACTCAAGTGCCTCTCCACTCAGGTGCCTCTCCACCCAGGTGCCTCTCCACTCAGGTGCCTCTCCACTCAGGTGCCTCTCCACTCAGGTGCCTCTCCACCCAAGTGCCTCTCCGCTCAGGTGCCCCTCCGCTCGGGTGCCTCTCCACTCAGGTGCCTCTCCACTGCGTTATCGTCAAGGGTGCTCTGCACGTGACACCCATGTTGTGACACCCGAGTTCTCTAACGACCCTGACACACAACACTCTTTGGTGGGTCTACTCCACCTTGCCCTTCTCTGTCACTTCTCTCTCTGCATGGCTGTGTTGGCCCCTGAGCAGACCATGAGGGGCGTGCCGGTGATAGAGATTCACGGCCAGGGTTCCAATGCGGACTACAGGGGGTTTGTGCTGGGGGTCATAGGCGACAAAGACACTCCTCTCAACAAGGTAGTCCACCCCTGCGCCTGCATGCGCCCTCCCGCAACTGCCCTTCACCTCACTGCGCTGGATGCTGTCACGCCCTTGGCCCACCTTGGCCCACCTACCAACTACACCCCAATATCATGTGACCAAAGCCGCATTTTGTGACCTAAGCCGCATCATGTGACCAAAACCGTATGTGCTGTTGCTCTGCGTCCTCTCATCGCCACACGCCAACTCCTCCCCTCCCCCCACACCTCCCCCACCCTTCCTCTCCTCCCCTCTCCCCCCCTTCTCCTCCTCCCGTCTCCCATCCTTCCCCTCCTTCTCCCCCCCCGCCCCTTTCTCTCTGCCTGCCTCTCCCCCCCCCTTCTGTGCGCGCCCTGCAGGAGCTGGCGCGCAAGTTTGGGCACTTTGCGATGGACTGGAGGGAGCTCGCCGTGCCCAGGCGGGGAGGCACCATCGTCGAGAGCTTCAACTCCGATGAGGTCCCTGCTGCCCCAGCTGCCGCTGCTGCTACTCCTGCCACTGATGCCTTGTGTCTTGTTCCTAGTCCTTGTCGCGAATGATGCCTGTGCAAGCCCCGTTATCACAGGCATTGCCTTGCCATTTCCTCAACACGTGGCTCCAACAGCCACCTTTCTCGCCTTGCTTCTCTGCTCCTCCTTCTGAGCCATTCCTTCACCTGATCAGCGCCCCCTCCTGCCCCCTCTTCGCATCTGCCAGGTGTTGCAGATGGCCCCGTGGCACCGCCAGTGGGCCGTCAGCCGGCTAGCCAACCGTATTGCGACATGTGTGGAGCGCGCCAGTGCCCCCAACAGGATGGCTCGCGGCGTGCACGTGCCGGCATCTCTCCTGAGCGATGCTGCCTATGACCGCGACCTCATTCCCGAGCCCGGCAGCCCTTTGGCCACGCCCCGCTCGCCCTATGGCACCTCTGGCAGCAGCAGCAGCAGCAGCAGCAGTGGCATGAGCGGTGCAGCAGGGCATCACTATAGTCACAGTAGGCTCTGGGCTGTGCCTGATTTGCCAGACAGTATAGAGCAGCGGACGCAGCAGATGAGTGGGGTAGAGAAGAGGCAGCAGGCGCCCCTGTGGAGGGGCCTTGTGTGGCCATGGCAACGCAAGGCGCAGCAGCGGGAAGGGGGGAAGAGGCGAGGCTGGTTTGAGCAAGAGTGATGGCCGATATTGTTGCAACGGGTTCAATATGAAGCCAGGGTGGTGCACTTGGGGCTTGTCATCTCATGTACGTTTTGTTTCAGAATGTGGCTACCAGGGCGCCTGCTGCCTCTCATGTACGTTTTGTTTCAGAATGTGGCTACCGGGGCAGCAGGCGCCCCTGTGGAGGTTACATGTATCAGAAAGAAAATTATTGAAATAGAATGTGTGCAAAAAAGGATATATAGACTAGGGTGTTGTACCCACTAAGGCACAATCCAGTATAGTCTACAGTAATGACCTAAGTTACATTTGACACATCCCCTAGACTATATAGGCAGTGCCTAACAAGGGAAGAAGCAGCTCAGGGCGGCACTACTAGTCCAGCCTCTGAGACAAGGGTCTAAAGACCTGTCAAAGGAATACAGACAAGGCAAGAGCAAGACCAGGGCGGCACTACAAGAGCGGCGCACTTGAAGCCCCCCCTTTGCTATTTTAGCCTGTGGTTTTAAATGCCCCCCCTATTTGTAGAAAGTGTGTACCCTATACGCCCCGTTTTTATTTCGTAAAACACTATACGTGTAAGGAATTACGATTCCTTACTGGGGCTCGCCACAGCGAATACCGCGAACAGTGCACGTCCGCAGGCTCGGCCCTTGGTTCTCGCGCCAAACCAGCCCCTGTCGACCTTTTCGGCCCAACCAGATCCCGAGTCGCCCCGAACCCATTTTGACCCCGTCACCCTCGGGACAGTCGAGTCCTTGACTGGTCCAACCTTCGACATTCAACCTGGTCAACTCGCACTATATAAGCCCTAGGCCTCATTTCTATCGACACATTCTGTAATCACTTTCCCCTATAGTATTCTGCTCTATACTCTATACCAGAAATATAGTATGTTCCTGTATTAGCAAGCCTGACGAGTCAGCCTATATCGAAATTCGACCTGAAACAGAATCCTCTGATTGGTCGAGGCGAGCTGTTCAAGTGAGGGGCGTGACTGGTTCTTAGCCAAGTGACGCAGGTCCAAGACGAGCAGGATGTGACGCGAGCTGGAGCAGATGCGAGGGGCATGATTAGTCCTTCACCGAAATCACATACGCTGTTTGATGCGAGCCACTTCTGGTCTCGCCATCCATCTCATGCTCGTTCTGTCTCTCCTGTCCAGTGCTCTCACCCTATGTTGCTTCATTCCAACGCGTCTCGTCCCCCCCTCCTTCCCTCGCCTCCTCCGTCATTGCTTGTTGTCGCCCCGCCTCCTCTGCCTGACTACCTTCGTGCCGCTATTCCTCTTGTACCTTAGGTCCTTGCCTCCCTCGTTACCGACCCGTCTGTTCCTGTCTCCAGTCTTACCGCGCTTGTTGCTGCCGTTGCTGACTTCCCCTCGATACGCCGCCTTGACTACGCCACAGCTCTGGTCTCTGACACGGTCCGTCCTCCGTCCGTCGGGGGTGCTCCTGCCCTTGGCAGTGACGTCCTGGAGGACCGGCAGTACGAGCTTGCTTTCTTGTCCAAGGCTGCGCCTCATCTCTGCTCCATGCTCCTATTCCCTGAGGGGGACCCAGACGCCTTCGACATCCCAACCCCTCGCACCTACGTTGAGGCGACCTTGGGACTTTGGGCCTCTCAGTGGATAGCTGCCATGGACGCCGAGATGGCATCTTGGAGATCCACCAGCACCTACGTCGATGGACGGTGGCTCTTCAAGGTGAAGCGCCTTTCTGGAGAGCCGCCGGTGTTCAAGGCGTGCTACGTTGCTAGAGGCACTTGTCAGTGTGAGGGTGTTGACTTCTTCCAGACCTTCGACCCGGCCCTGAAGATGACTAATCTTCTGGCGCTGCTATACGTAACAGCACAACGTGACTATGAGCTGCACTCCCTCAACTTCTTGACAGCTTTTCCTCAGGGCAGTCTGCACGAACAGGTGAATATGCGTTGCACGCCAGGCTTCACCGGCAACTTCGCCGCGGAGACCCAGTGGCTCCTCTGACGCCCAGTTTACGGCCTGCGGCAGGCGCCGCGCGAGTGGCACGACATGCTTTGTGCTACGTTAGCTGATCTACAGTTCTTCTCGTCGTCTGCAGACCCCTCGCTCTTTGTTCGTGCTGGACAGACCCCGTTCTACATCCTAGTCTACGTAGACGACCTGGTATTTGCTGCTATAGACAGAGACGCATTGGCCTCCATGAAGGCTGAGTTGTTGAGGAGACGCACTGACCTAAGAGAGATGCGCAACTACCTTGGCCTGCAGATCTCCAGGGATAGAGCAGCGCGCACCATCACTCTCACATAGTCACACTTGGTGCGCCAGGTCCTTCAGAGGTTCGGTCTTCAGTTCTCCTCTGCACAGCCCACACCTCTGCCAATAGATCACAGGCTCTTGGCTCCAGTCCCTGAGGAGTCTGTAGAGCATAGTGGTCCATACGCCGAGCTGGTGGGTTGCCTCATATACGTGATGACTTGCACTCGTCCAGATCTTGCATACCCTCTCAGCATCCTGGCTCACTTTGTGGCCATAGGCAGACACCAACCACAGGATTGGTCAGTTGCTAAGAGGGTTTTGCGTTATCTAGCAAGTACATCGGGCATGGGGCTAGTGCTAGGAGGACGCAGGCCAGTGATCCTTACACAGCACGCAGACGCTTCATGGGCGGACGACGCTGAGACGCTCAGGTTATCCCAGGGCTACTGCTTTAGCCTTGGTGCAGGCGCCATCTCGTGGAGGTCCACCCGCTCATCGTCTGTTGCCCTGTCTAGCTGTAAGGCTGAGATCTACGCTGGTGCCATGGCGGTACAGGAGCTCCGCTGGCTGACTTTCTAGCTCACACACTTAAGTGACCGGCCTAGCTCTGCCCCGGTCCTGTACGCTGACAACAGGGCCATGATCCTCCTCTGTTAGGAGCGTAGACTAGAGGGCAGAGCGAAGCACATCCAGCTGCAGTACTTCCTCCTGCGTGAGCTACAGCAACACCGCCAAGCTCGCGTAGTTCACTTGGCCACAGGTGCCAATACAGCTGATACCTTTACGAAGGCACTTGCCATCAACGTGAGAAAGAATGATCAGAATCAGACATACGAGGAGCTTTTGTGTGAAGGAGTTGTACTCTCTAAGAGTACGCACCAATCTAGCCTATAAGACATATATACATATATATATATATATATATATATATATGTGTGTTTTGACACACCCCCTAGGCTAGATAAGGGGCAGTGCTTGGCAGGAAACACATAACTCAGGGTGGCACAACTTGTCCAACCTCTGAGGCAAGGGTCCAAAGACCAGTCAGCAAAAGGACAAACTAACCAAGAGCAACCAGAGCGCTACTACTAGTCCAGCCACTGGGACAAAAGCCACAAGGCCAGTCAAGATAATGTATAAGTAGTACACAATCAAGGTCCTAGCAAGTGTGAAGCTACAGGAACTAGACCAAGCTGTACACAGTGCCGCTGATGATCTTTAGGTGCAAGCGCCTTCGTAAAGATATCAGCTGTGTTGGCACGAGAGGCCAAGTGTACTACGCGGGCCTGGCGGCGCTGCTGTAGCTCACGCCGGAGGAAGTACCGTAGCTGGATGTGCTTTGCTCTGCCCTCAAGTCGAGGCTCCTAACACAGGAGAATCATGGCCCTGTTGTCAGCGTACAGAACCGGGGCAGAGCTAGGCCGCTCACCTAGGTCTGTGAGCAAGAAAGTCAGCCAACGGAGCTCTTGTGCCGCCATGGCATCGGCGTAGGTTTCAGCCTCACAGCTAGACTCGGTAACAGACGACGAGCGGGTGGACCTCCACGAGATGGCGCCTGCACCAAAGCTAAAGCAGTAGCCCTGGAAGACCTGAGCATCTCAGCATCACCTGCCCACGAAACGTCTGTGTGCCCTGTAAGGAACCACTGGCATGTGTCCTCCTAGCACTAGCCCCATGCCTGATTTACTTGCTAGATAACACAAAACCTCTTAGCGGCCGACCAGTGCTGTGGTCGGTGTCTACCTGTGGCCACAAAGCGAGCCAGGATGCTGAGAGGGTATGCGAGATCTAGGCAAGTGCAGGTCATCAGGTACATGAGGCAACCCACTAGCTCGGCGTAAGGGCCTCTAGGCTCTACTGGCAGGGTTGTGGGCTCTGCGGTGCAGAACTGAAGACCGAACCTCTGAAGGACTTGGCGCACCAAGTGTGATTGTGTGAGAGTGATGGTGCACGCTGCTCTGTCCCGGGAGATCTGCAGGTGAAGGTCACGACGCAGCTCTCCTAGGTCGGTGCAGGTGTGTCTCCTCAGCAGCTCAGCCTCCACGGAGGCCAGTGCGTCTCTGTCTGTAGTAGCAAAGACCATGTCGTCTATGTAGACAAGGATGTAGAATGGGGTCTGGCCAGTACGAACGAAGAGTGAGGGGTCTGCAGACGACGGAAAGAAATGCAGGTCAGCTAACGTAGCATGAAGCGTGTCGTGCCACTCACGAGATACCTGCCGTAGGCCGTAACCGGGCGCCGGAGAAGCCACTGGGTCCCCAGGGGGAAGGTGCCGGTGAAGCTTGGCGGGCGACGCAGGTAGACCTGCTCGTGCAGACTGCCCTAGAGAAACGCTGTCGAGACGTCGAGAAAGTGCAGCTCGTAGTCACACTGTGCTGCTAGGTGTAACAGTGCCCGAAGAGTAGTCATCATCGTGGTCGGCGCGAAGGTCTGAAAGAAGTCAGCACCCTTGCGCTGACAGAAGCCTCTAGCAACATAGTGCGCCTTGACCTCCGGCGGCTCTCCAGGAGGGCGCTTCACCTTGAAAAGCCATCAGCCATCGACTAGGTTCACCCCAGGTGGGGGAACCGTGTCAACGTAGGTGCTGGTGGATCTCCAAGATGCCATCTCCGCGGCCATGGCAGCTATCCATTGAGAGGCCCAGAGCCCCGAGGTTGCCTCAGCGTAAGTGCGAGGGGTCGGGATGTCAAAGGCGTCTGGGACCCCTCCAGGGACTAGTAGTAAGGAGCAGAGATGAGGTGCGGCCTCGGACAGGAAAGCAAGCTCGTACTGCCGGACCTCCAGGAAGTCACTGCCAAGAGCAGGAGCACCCGACGGTTAGAGGATGGGCAGGGTCAGAGACCAGAGCAAAGCTGCAAGGCGGCGAGTAGAGGCGAAGTCAGCACAGCAGCGACAAGCGCATCAAGACTCGAGACAAGAATAGACGTGTCGGTAACGATGGAGGCAAGGACCCGAGGAACATGAGGACTAGTGGCCCGAAGGATGTCAGACAGAAG